TCCTTGTGCAGGTTCAGGGCCAGGCTGGCTGGGGCCTTGAGCAACTTGATCTAGTTGTAGGTGTCCCTTTCCATGGCAGGGAGGTTGGAATTAGATGATCTTGGCAATCCCTTCCAACCCAACCCATTCCATGATAAGCAGCTGATTCTGGGGCTCGGCCGGGACCATTTTTTGTCGTTTTTTGGTTTTTTTTTTTGGTTTCCCCTCACCCCAGCCCCCCCCTCTGTGCCCGCAGGCCGTGTTTATTACTTCAACCACATCACCAACGCCAGCCAGTGGGAGCGGCCCAGCGGCGGCGGGCGCAACGGCCAGGGGGAGCCCAGTAAGGTCCGGTGCTCCCACCTCCTGGTGAAGCACAACCAGTCGCGGCGACCCTCGTCCTGGCGGCAGGAGCGGATCACCCGCACCAAGGACGAGGCTCTGGAGCTCATCAATGGCAAGTAAACGCCGGAGAGAGAGAGGGAGCGGGATGCTGTTGGAGGGGAAAAGTCATTTTTAAGGCTGGGGTTGGTTTGGTGTGTCAGGAACCTGCTAAATCCTTTATTTTTGATATTTTTTTTTTTGATTCGAACACGGACTTTTGTGCAGCGCAACCACCCGCTGCAAAATTCTTTCTCCAGGATTCAGTGACGTAAAGACAGGTCCCATCCCCTTTGTGTTTGGGTTTATTTTTCTTTTTTATAATGTTATTTCCAAGGTTCGTTTGTATTTCCTTTGCAAATGCGCGTTTTTCGATTAAAAATAAACTGATTGAAAGCTAAACCAGGTGTTCTTTAAACATTTCTTTTTATTGAATGGCACTTCACCCCTTGCCCAAGCAGCAGAGTAAATTCTGATTAACCTCTGCTTGAAATCGAGGTGCTTGTAGGGGGTGGTCAGCCTTGGCCGAGGTTGTATGGATGACCTGATTGGGTTTTTCCCAAAAAAAAAATCTTCTGGCTTGTGACCTGGACCAGGAGCCAGGGTCCTGCGTGTCCTCCAGGATAGGTGGTGTTGTGCAGCCTGGATTTTTCCGTGCGGCGCCGGCAGTGGGACGGAATCGGCGTCGTGCGTCTTCCGAACGCGGAGGTTTTGATCTGACGGAAGCGAGTTGGAGCTCCAGCTGTTCCTGTTGGCTTTTTCCTCTTAGGAGAAGGAATTTGGGGGCTCGGGGTGAGGTTTAAACCAGTCCCACCGGTTCAGCGATGAAACAGGGACCGTGCTCAGTGGTGCTTTCTGGTTGCCAAGAGTGGCTGGTGTGCTCTGGGCACGGATACGTGCCGCAGTCCCGTGCCTGCCTTGTCTTTTACGGCTCCAGGAATGAGGGAGGGAAGACAGGGAGCGTGTTTTGGCTGTTGCCCCTATCCTAATCCACCAGAAATTTAAGGACTCTCTCGTTTGGAAGCCCTGGGAGGGGAGGTTGCTTTGTTAAATAATAGGAGCAGCGAGGCAGCGACCAGCAGGTGGTATCTGCTCACCGCCTTTTGGAAAGGGAGGTTAAATTGCCTGGCACAGATGGGAATTTTTTGAGGGAATCGTGTCCTGCAGCTGAGAAAACGTGAGCAGAGGTGACAAAGCAGGTGGAAATCTGTGCCGAGGGAGTCGGGGCTGTGGCAGAGATAAAGAGATGGAAACAACGTCAGCCGAGCTGCAAATTCTCCCTCTGCCTCTCTCTCCTCTTCCTTTTTTCCCTTTTTTTTAAAGAATAAAACTCTTCTGGAGCCTTCTCCTGGAGCCATGCTTGCCAAAAGGCCACCGCAGAGGTGATGCGATGCACGACGCTGCCGTGCTTTGAGCAGGAATTGCTGAGCTTGGGTCCTTTCAAGAGGGAATCACTTGTGGTTTAGAAGGGAAAGTTGTCCCTGCAGAGGTATTTCGGGAGCTTTGGAGACTTTTGGATATGCAGATGTTCTAGAAACTGGTGGTATTTAGAAGCCTGAATTATTTGTGCTTAACGTTTGTCGTCGTCGTTCCTCGTTTGGGTGGTTTTCTGTGAGATGCTTTGCGACCTGAGAAAGGTGATGGAAAGGAGCTCCTGGAATTTTCCTTGGCTCAAAAGAATGGGATTAACTTTGGCAGCTTCCGAGCCTTCTCACTGTCCCATAACTTGTGTTTCGTGCTCTCCCTGTGGTGTCTGAGAGGAAAGACCTTGTGTAAATACCCTGTTTGTCTTCTCCCTAAAGGCTTTTAGGGAATTAATTCCAATAATGGGAATACCGTTGTCAAAAAAAATAACACCCTGAGCACCTTTGTGTCCACGTTTGTCCCATAAACACTATTCCTGGGAAGGTCGTAGGGAACGTCAGCTTGTGATGAATTATTTTAATTAAGTTTCTAGAAGTTACTTTCAGTTTCTAGAAGTTACTTTCAGTTTCTAGAACAGCTGGAACTTGTTGGGAGAATGCTCAGAATCCGTGAGCTCCTCTGGACAGATGTGCTGGACCTGGTGGATGTAGTTATCACCTGGAATTGGCTAAGCTGGTCTCCAGGGAGGGGTTTGACAGGCACAACACCACACGTTTTCCTGGTTTGGTGGGAGATGGGGTCTCTCCAAGATCTCCCTCCCAACTCTGCTCTGGTGTTAAGGCTTCATGGAATAAAAACCCAGGAAGGAAATTTGATTGGGGAGCTCTGTTCCTGCAGGAGAGGAGACGGGAAGTTGGTCCCTTCCAACCCAAACCGTTCCAGGATTCCAGAAGATGTCTGTGCCCATGCCGGGCGGTTGGAACTGGATGGTCTGGAAGGTCCCTTCCAACCCAAACCGTTCCAGGATTCCAGAAGATGTCTGTGCCCATGCCGGGCGGTTGGAACTGGATGGTCTGGAAGGTCCCTTCCAACCCAAACCGTTCCAGGATTCCAGAAGATGTCTGTGCCCATGGCAGGGGGTTGGAACTGGATGATCTTTGAGGTCCCTCCAACCCAAACCATTCCATGATTCTATTCTATGAACTTGGCTGATGTCAAATATTCCATTCGACGGCTCTTCCCCGATAATCAGGGGGGTTGGAGCTGGAGGGGTGCGTGGTCTGGGAATGGTTTTGAATCCCTTAAGGAAGTCACAGCGGAGAATTACCCACAGTTTAGCCCCCCCCGTCGTGCTACAGCAGGACCTGGAGGGCTCAGCTCACCGGATGCTTTTCCCATGGACGGTCACATCGCCGGGAACGCGGGATTGGAAAAAAAATTCCAGATTTGAGCCTGATCCTGACATTAAAGGCAGCAAAACCCCAGCCAGCCGGGCTTTTTGTCCCTGGTGATGTAGGTCATTCCTTCTGCTGCTTCTGCTGGCAGCCCTCCTTTGCACTTCACTTCCCATTAATCTTTTGGAGCGTGAGCCCGTCCTGGTGTGCGATATTCCGGAGGAGCTCTCGGCTGTGCCCTCTGCTGTGGCATTTCCCACTGGTGTCCTCTCTGCCGTGGGCACCGCCGCTCCGGTGCCACGTTTCTCTCTTTTGCCATTTTGGAATTAGTGGTGATTCCACGTTTCCATCCTTCTCTTTCAGATCGAGCTCTCTGCACATCTGGAATTGGCAAAAAAAAAAAAGCTGGCAGTGCTTCCCCACCCTCCAGCCTGCTGTTTGCCTGTTTTGTCACCTTCCCCCTCTTTCTTGGGGCAGAATCAGCTGGGATTCATCCCAAAATCCAGCTCCTGAAAGCTTCTCTTCCCCAGTATTCTCCATTTCAGCACGATCCGTTGCCGTTCTTCATCTTTGCTCTTTTTTCACCATCTCCCCTTCCTCAATCCCACTTAACACCTGCTGATTTTTAGGGGCAGTTCCTTAAAACCTGGATGGTGCTTAATCCGTGGAATTTGGCTGAGATCATCTGGGGAAAAAGCTCCTCAATCCCACTTCACAAAGTTTAGGCACAAGCTGCAGGTGTCTCCTGCTGGTCCAGGTGGCATCAAACAAGTTCCTTGGCTTCAAAAAAAACCTTAGGCTTTTTCCAGGGCTGATCCCTGGCATGAAACGAGGAGGTTTTATTCATTCTGTTCCAGTGTGTAGGTGACTGGTTTTCCCCACGAACTGGTGAAACCCTCTTTCAAGCACCAGGACCCCACTGGTGTGACCAGAGCAGACAGTTTAGGATCTCAAAGTCAACACTCCCATCCTTAATTTGGATCCTTTATTGCTTTAACATCCTAAAGCTGGGATTTTGGACACTTCTGGATGCGATGCCCGCCGGGTGCTCGCTGGGGATTGGCAGCTCTGTGCGATGAGATGCATATTTCTGGTGGTGCAAGCACGGATTTTTGGGATAAACTCCTGTTTTGTCACCCAGTAGGACTGTTTGTGCTCCAGCAGCTTAGTTTAATGGGATGAACCGGCATCAGTTTCTTTTCCTACCACGGGAATCCTTTGAACTGCCTTCCACCCAGATAAAATAATCCTTTTTCTCTTTTTTAACGCAGGATAAGTAGCTGTTCTCTTAAATTTGGCAGGATTTCAGACTTTCCTGGAGACTTTCTCCACCGGCACGCGTGCGCTCGGGGCCGCAGGTAGGATAAACACGGATAATCCCATTAGGTAAAGCAGGTTCTGCCCTTTGGGAATTAAAAGAACTTTCTGTGGCTGCTGAGTGACGTTCAGGGCACTTGTTTAATTCCGAGGAAATTCTAGAACCAGAGGGAATCCATCTGCTCTTCCCGTTTTTACGGGAGGGAAAAGCAAACCTCGCTGTCCTCCGTGGATGCCGGAGCTTGAGGCCAGTGGCAGCTGATTCCAAGTGGGACTGGATTGGAGAGGAAAAACGGGCTGTAGGGTGGAAGGCTGATCCAGAGACTTAAAATCCCTTCATTTTGGTCTTGTGAGCACTAAAGTGGGATAAAGAAATAAATTTAAAACCTGGTAGCCTGTGTTTTCGGTCGCTGCTGGATACATCAGCTCCCTCCTCTCCTTAAGGAATGTTTTCTTGCCTGGCCCCAGCCCTCCCAGGAATTTCCTCAGGTGGATAAAAATATAAAGTGTTAAAACGAGCTGGGAAATACTCATTCCTTCATCCTTTTGCATCACAAACCATCCTCTTCCTTTTGGGAGAGCATCGTAAAGCCGAACTCCTGAATTACCTGCGTGACCCTTTTCCAGGTAGGGATCTTCCACTGCTTGTGGATGCTCATCCCGATTTTTTTTATCGTTTTAGGGGTTTATCTGGCAAAGTGCAGACTCTGTGCACGTGCAGGCTGCAGGGCTTACTCGGGAGTGACCTAAAATTGGGAATTTAGTTATCAAAACCAGGAGGTTTGATAGTTTCGGAGAGGGAAGCGCCACTTGTCTTGGTTCTTCTGTTGAAGAACATCAGTTGCTTCCCAGTTTTTGGTTTTGGAGGTGGAAAGCTGCTCGGGTTTGGACTGGAAGGCAGTCAGGCTTTGCCTGATCTTTCCAAAGCTGCTGGGAAGTTTCTGGGAAAAGGGCTTTAAAAATTAAACAAATCCTTAGTGAGAAATGAGTTTAGCACGGAGAGTTCCTGTTCCTCTGCGCTTCAGGATTCTTCTGGGAGAAGAATGCTTAAAATACATGGATGGATGATTTTTACAACATAATTTACTCTAAATTTATCCCTCGTGGTCCAAAGCGCAGAAGGAAAACCCTCTGGCAGGAGCAGGCTGCTTGGGGGGGGGGGTTAACTGGCAGCTGGACCTGGCAACTGGTTTTAAGTTATGTTTTGGTGGGAGGTGGCTGCAGGTCGGACCAGTGATGGTTTGGGGTTGTGGTTACTGGTGAAGGAAGGAGCTGGAGGGGGTTGAGCCGCAGGGAACGGCGCGGGATTTTCTCCTCGTCTCCAGGATCCGTGGAAATGTTCCCCGCTGGCATCTCTGGAGTCTGTGATTAGTGGCTCCACGATGGTGTCGTCGAGCTGTTGGCTGGAAAAATGGGATCCCTCTCCTAAATTTTCGTGGTCCGAGCTCGCAGCGGGGAGTTCCGCCGCGCCAGGACGGCGAGGAAGAGCTCTGGGTTAAAACTTCACGTGTTTCTTAACTGACCTTTTAAAAAGCTGTCTTGACAAATAATTCCCTCCTCTGGGATTCTCCCTGCTCCGTCTCCTACCGAGGGGAGCCCTTCTGGAATCAAAAGTTCATCTATTTCCAAACCCAATAATAAATTTCCGTGCTTTGGGGAGAGGAGGAGGAGGAATCAACTTTTTTTTTTTTTTT